CAGAATGTAATAATACGTCATAAAATGGCGTACCGTGGTAACACTACATAACATTAAAAAAATCATAAACGGATAGTTTTGAGCAAGTGTCTGTGCATGGTTATTATAATCGACTGTATCTAAAAATAAATTTAACAATATTAAAGTATCATATTAGACCGTGATGTGAACACACAACAATAAAAAAATAGAGGCTTATTTCAGTCAAACTTGAATTTTTAGTGTTGATCGAAATAATTCATGTGAAACAAATTTAGGTTAAATAGTAAAAAATAATTTAAATTAAATAGTAAGTTTCCTGGAGGAAAAAATGTTAACAAAAAAAATACAGAAAAACTACATAGATTGAGACAAAATTTTAGAAATTCTTAATTTTTCCTAGATATTTGTAGTAGGATGTAGGTTTGTCTTAGAAATTCTTAGTTTTTTGTAGATATTAGTGGGACATATACAATGTCGTGATTAATTTCACTTTTTGAATCTTCAAATTTTAGAGCCAAAGTATCAATCAAGTTGGCATTAAAATTTTTTTAAATTCAAGAATCGAATTACCCATTTTGGCCTGTAAATGGCTTATATAATACATTTTGAACGCGTATTTGCAATATTAGGAATATGTATCAATTAAATATATAATTTACGTATTTAATACGAAAAGAGTATATATTGTCATATGTATTTGGTATGTAAATTACGTATCAACAGCACGAAAATTCATCGGTATTATAAATACGTATCTGATACATGATTTATACGTATTGCTACGAATCTGCTACATAGCTATAATATTGCAAATTTTATGTATCTGATGTATACGTAAGTAAATTACGTGTCTATAGGCGGATATTTATTCGGTTTTAAACATGTATCTGGTATATGATTCTTACGTATTACTATGTATCTGTTATATAGCAACATTTCAAATTTCATGTATCTGCTACGTATTTGAAATCTAAAATGCTGTGCGGGAAATAAGCTAAAAAATGAAAAGAACTTTGATAAAATACAAGAAAACTGATTGAATATGGCGTAACTTTTGAGTTTGAGATACAATTGTTTGAGATAAAATGGAGTCACATCTTATGAATTACATCTTATGAAAATGAGATATGGGCGGATTCTTCAGTCGCGCGCGACTGTCCATTTACGCGGATTTGCTCTCTCTTGCGTGAATCCCGAGATTCAACGGAAGCTCATCTGTCGTCTTTACGATTCTCGCGCAAAAGGACATACGCGTCAGCCGCGTGATCGGTAAGTACACTGAACAAAACTCGTTGAGTCAACGCGCGCTGAGAATGGGCGCGGCTCGGAATGTCGATCGTTCTGAAGGCACGGGACGAGATGTTGGGAGATCGAGGCAGGAAAGAAAGAAGAGGAGAAGAGAGGAGAGGAGAGCCGTCCCGGCTGGATCGAGAGAAAGAGAAAAGCGCAAAAAGGAATGGGATACTCGCGAAATGAGATTTCGCTAACGAGATAATCCGATTTAATCGGCGACGAGCTTCAGCTGCTTAGACTTCGGTACTAACGTCAAAGACAAGAGATGCATAAATGATGAGTTTCTTCGCGAAAAATAAAAATTATCATGCAGGCTGAGTCCTCTATGAGTTGAAAATCATTAATCGCGAAGCAGTCAGACGAATTCGTTGTACAATCGAATACTATAATCGTATACTGAATGAATGTGGCATGCACCTACATGCTGGATGACGTATAGAATCCGCGTGCCTGTTATTTAATAATTTCTATTCTTATGTATGTACATCCGTGGATATGATTTTTGCGCAGGAAGTTACATCAACATTGGAATATTTCGCGTGCTGCGTTTTGCGTCAAGCCATGGCGTAACCGCGTAACTCGCGACGCCAACGGATCGATTCATCATCCTATTAAAAAGTTTCTCAAGTTAGAACTAAAAATTGTGACGCTGTCAAAAGAGAATACTACAAAAGATCTAAATCAACCGAGAGAAACGCAAACGTTCAAAACTCTCAAATTTATTGTTTCAAAAAACATATTACTAGAAAAGAAAATTGTTTGAACACGCGAAAAAGAGGTGTGATCACTTTACTTAAACAAATATAAAGTTAATTTGTTAATAATAAAATAAATAAATTATAGTTGCAATTATTTTGATGGCCTTTTTAATCATTGACTCAATCGTGTCATTATACGATCAATTGTATTAAGTATTTAAAGTATTCGATTGACTTGATGATTGACTTTTGTTACAGAAAAAAGACAATGGATCAATTTTGCTTAGTTAGATAACGTAAACCTCTTAGTGTCGTCTTTAATATTCAAGGTCTGCCATGTTCAAGTTAAGTGAAATTTCTTGTTTCTTGAAAGAATTAATTAAAGACTTTTGAGCATCCCTCTATTCCGCTAATATTCCTTTTAGCTAGAATTTTTTAATTACAGCTGACATCTCGATTTCACGGAGAACTCGTGAGAACAACGTCCGACTTTCAACGATCCTAGAGGGTAAACTTGACCTTCGACCCGTACATTCACCCGTAAGAAGGACGGCGGAAGTCATGGGGAATTCTACTTCCTATTTTCCCCTTCTTGAAGAAGAACACATTTCTCTTGGAACCTCTAATAGAGATTACGTAATCTTTCCTAATTAATGTTATTTTTCGCTAGCTTCGCTAATTAAGAGTTATTTGTAGTGACCCTGTTTCTAATTATTCGATTGTAGTATGTTTCAATTAACAAAATCGTTGTGTGTGGAATAGTTTTTATATCCCTCCTTCTAACAATAAATTATGTCTTAAAATTACTAACGTTTCGAAAAAGCAAAGAAATTACAGACAGAAGTCGCGCGTTTTATTTCGTTGTTAAAATTTCTCTATGTGCGAAAATTCGATAATATCGCTGTATATCTTCGCAACTCTTTGTTTCTATAAATTATCCCGAGATAAGAACTTTTTTCTTCCAGTGAGTGCTTCTATTTGCTTTCTAATATTAATTTATTTAATTATACTTTTCCCATTAAGCAATCGTGAAAATTTTCGTAGAATAATCTTTTTCTTCTGATCCTTGGAAGCATAGTTATCGTAAAAATCAATGAAGCTATGTGAACCTTTTAATATGAAATGTTGAATTAATTTAATTAACAGCTTAATCTTTAAATGACTTTAAGTAATTGTATATTTTGACGTGTTTTAAATATAGTTCATCGTTTAAACGGATTGTGGTTACTTAAAAGTACGATATAATAGTAACGATAACACATCATTATAGAAATTACTATAATGGACCGTTGACTCATTATAGATCAGTAAATATCTGTTGTGTGGTCAGAAATGAGATTATAACGATGTCGGAAATTGTACCCATTAGTGCGATACAATTACGCGTCACTGCGCAAATGCAAAAACTATGAAATTGTCGTTATCATTGAAAATAAGGGATTAGGACTGGCGAAAGTCCAAGGACTACAGCTGTGCCGCAGTTTTTTTTTTGTAGCGTATCCACATCCTTAAGGATGCGGAGGAAGTAGAAGAAATTAGATTCACGAGCACAGGCGGCTGATGACAGCTTCGGCCGCCAGAAGTAACGAGATTCGGATGCGATCCGACTTTGGGCAGGAAGATGTCCATTTTCATAAATGATCGAAGCGCTCGTTCAGCACAGGGGCTGTCCGCGTGTGCAGCACTTTCATTAGAATTTGCATAAGGATTCTGTACTGAGAGGAGAGCACAGACTACAGTGTGAAGAGAAGAGCATCCACTGTCAAATTGAATTAGCTTCAACAACGATGTTGATAACGCTTCGCAACGTCGCGAAAATCCATCATTAAATCCCACGCTTTCGCAATCCACTTTAATTTTTTTTTGCAATGCCTCAAATTGCATACATTAATATAACGCGAGTCCTTGCAAACGAACCATTGTGATACGTTCTCATTAAGAAATTCTTCAAAACGCGCGTACGTAGAACGCTTCGTGGCAAAGTCACGTGTTTTATTTACCCATTGTTGAAATCTCTTCTCGGCCCAAGAATTCAATCTTCACAATTTTTTCTGTGAATGATCCTGAGAGAAAAATTTTTTCTTTCTTCTCTTAAACACAGGAAAAGCGTAATTGAAAAGAATGAATCTTATTTGAAATCCTGATGTCATGGAACGATATGCCATTTTGCTTTTAATGCTTTAGAAAAATTGGTTACAGTAACGTTTCAAATCGCTCGATGCGTCCCTTTGGAATGCAGAACTACGTGATCGTGCAAAAGAAAGTGCAGCGAATGCTTCTTGAAAAAAAAACAGGAAGAAGTAAAAGAATGTGTTTAAAATAAAAATATCAGTAGAAATGTATTTTATACGCATCCAAGTTCGTAATAAAATGCACATTAAATTGATTGCATTTTTATCAAAGCAATATATACATTATGACGAATATCCTTTTTTACTCGAACATTTATTTTCGGATATTTCTAAAGAGTAAGATCCATTAAAATCTAGCTCTTTAATTAATTTTGCATCTAACAATTATATCCATTTCATTTCCAATAAGGATTAACTTTAATCTTGATTTAATTTATTTATTTTATTATTTCTAATTCTCTAAGAATTAGAGAGCAAACCGAATCTCTTAAAAGTGGTAGAATGCGATAACATGAATCGCTTTAGTTCCTTTTCCTTCTATTTTTAGAAAAGAATATTTAGAAAAGGGAGAGGGAGACGTTGATCAAACGATATATGTATTCGAAGTTCGAATGTAATTCGATTTGTTAGATTTATGAAAATATATCTCAGCGTCGAAATATACTCGAACTTCGAATACATGTATTATTTGACTTCATCGATGCTTTTCTCTCCCTCCCCCCCCTCTCTCTTTCTTCCAAATATTTTTTTTTTAATGGAAAGAAAAGGAAGCAAAGTGATTTATGTTATTGTGTTTTTCCACTTATTTGAGAGATATATCTTACGAAGTACTGAGTGAAATCTCGACAGGCAGGATCGACGGATGTTCCTGTCAATATCAAAATCTGATACGAACCTGGATCTGAGCGCGCTTGACCTCGGTGTAGAGCCAGTTGTCCGTGGAGAAGGCGATCGCCAGCAGAGCAGTGGCGATTATACCGGTTATGGTGGCAAGAGACAACGTCACTGCGGAGCACGGCATCTTGGTATTTTATCTCCGATATCTCTTCTCGTTCTTTCCTTTCTCTCTTCTTCGTCGAATCTCTCCCTCGGTCTCTCTCTCTTTCTCCCGTCTCTTCCGTTAGCTTCACCTTGCACTCACTACGGTTACGTGGTGGTTATTGCTACCGACTGTACGTGGGCATCAGCGCGATGAAGAAGAAGCTGCCACGAAGCGCACCGCGAAGAGGAGAGCTGGACCAAGCTGGACCACGGCAGATTTTGGAGAACGCGGGCACGCGGCTCTCTCGCGAGCACCGGGGGATGAAAAGGGGTTCGATAGCGGGGAGTCGGGGGAGGAAGGGGTCAACTGCCTTCGTACGTAATATCCACGTACTTCGTTGTCCTTCAGGATGTGCACTTCGTCGCGATGCACATCACACCACCATTCCAGTCACAACGGCAACGATACTAACGGCTTGACTCCCGACTCACCTCGAAGGAAAGCTAGCCGGAGAGCCGGCCGAGAGAGCAAGGAGAGAGAACCGGACCTCAGGTGGGGATGGACTCGTAGCCTCGGGCAGGTATATTACCTGTGTTTTACCTGCAGCGGTGCTCAACGTGCACGACCTGTTGCCGTTGCACCTGGCGCTGCTGATGGACGCGGGAGGGAAGAATTGTCGAGTCGTATCGCAAGAATATTCCTAAGGATATTATCGCGGCGATATATACCACTCAACATTGCCACGAGGATACATCTAGCGCGTTTGAAACGAACATAATTGCAACGTGTTTCGATCTCGATGTTGTGACATCTTTCTTTGCAAACGCGATACGAAGTAGATTTCTACAACTTAAGAGATCGAATTCTCCAAAATTATATCTGTCCTTGAGTCTTATCATATTCTGCTGTTAAAGATCCGATCAAGTCATTTATAGCTTCATTTGGATTTTCTTAAGATTTTCAGATTAAATATGTATTAATTCCTACGAAAGGGAGAACACACAGTTTCTCGATAATAGCTATTAGAGTGATACGGATATCATCAATGTAAAGATATATCTTTACATGCCGATTATTAGGTCGTCGCTATAACTCTGTTTGGAATCGGTCGAAGTAAAAGCTTAGGAAAGTTGCGAACGCGTTCAACGAAATGAGAACAGTTTCTTCGAGGCTGTGTACCTGTGCGAACCGCTCCTGCCTCGTCTCTGTGGCGAACGATCCCACCACTATTGTGATATAAAGTCAGCATAAACACCAGGGAAAAGCGTAGGATTCCGCACATTCTCTCGAATCGTTTGTGATTTCACGGGGTATCGCCGAAATCCAAATCATCAGCTCTTTGCTTTCGTAGATGCTATTTATTTCTAAAAAAGAAAGCTTTTTCGCTATTTTTTTCTTTAATATAAAATAATTTACAATAAATTATATATTCAATATCAATATCAACAGATTGACAGTATTAAAAAACAATTTACTTATTTATGGTTGCTCTTTTTCTCAAAGTGTAATATTCAAATACAAAAGTGCAATATCTATTTGCATTTTATTTAAAAATATTTGTCATTTTCATAATTCTCATAATATTAAATATATAAAACATAAAACAAATCTGAGATACAAAAACATTATAATTTCAAAAAATATATTAAAATATATTAATTGTACTTTAAAATGGAAGGATCATAAGGTGTACCCAGGAAAGGTGATCCCTTTGCATTCCACGCCTGCTTCAAGGTAGCCTCCATCTTCTATAAATATAATATTACTTACAAATTGTAATAAGTATTCCACACTTTATACATGCTAAGACAAGATATAGACAATTACAATTTGTTCAGATGTTGGTTTGCCTAAGATTTTCTGTTGTTGATTCCACATTAATTCTTGCACTTTCATTTGTTCTTCTGGCGCCATATCGTTAAAATGTTTCGAACAGTCAATCTTGTTTAAGTCAATTTTCGGTTCATCAACAATTAAGGCTTCCCACCATCTTTCCATAGCTTTTTCAAGATGAATCTATAAATACAAATAGAATAAGTAGATACCAAATACATTCGAGGATATCGTGAACAGTTAGATTGAATGTGGTTTTGTATGAACGTACACTAATTTGTTTCCCAGCTTCAATGCTCCATATAGATTCATCTCTTCGAATTTTAAAACTAAACTTGCCATTGAAAATGTTCTCCCATTTAGAATTTGTTGATGAAACAGAAGGCTTTCCATCAATCTTGATTTCATTTGAGTTTATGTCAACTTTGACTGTATCTTTGGATGCTTTTATATGTTTTGGTATTTTTACAATTACATCCAAATCATTGAGAGTCTGGGACCAAGTATAATTTTCTCTTATAGCTCCATTGTAGCTGTCCGATATATGGTCTATCTTAGATTGTATGGAGGATGGTTTAATATTATTGGCTTTATTGCATGAATCAATTTCAATTTCTTGCGCCACTGGTGGTATAAGTCTGCAATTCTCGTTTTGCGTCGAAACTAATTGGTTTGACGTACTACTGCTGTTTGTATTATCAATTACAGACAATGTTGTCTTTTGTAAAGATGTAGGATTCTTCCACTTGTACATGGTATTTAATACAAGTTTCTCTGCTATTCCTGGTGGAAAGCCCAATTTTTGCTCCGAGTTCGATTCGACATAAAAGTCTGTGCTGATATTGTAAAATTTATTATGTAAAACGAAATTTTATTTAAAACATTGATACTTCTAATACTTACCACCTATGTAAAAATCCAAAAAAGGAGTCCAAAAAGTTACTGATGTTTTTTTCTTCACAAAGTATGTGAAAAAACGTTTGATCATGATTGGATCCCATGATCGAAAAGATCTCTACCAAGTCCTACAGATATTTATTATACTACACCAATTGTTAAATACACGAAAAAGGCTAATTATTCGTTCAAGAAAATTCAATTATCTCGAACACACTCGCGTTTCTGCTACTATTTCAAATTTCTAAAGATGTTTATCTTAACCTGTACTAGACACTCCGACTACTCCAATTCCGAGTCGTTATATGCTGAAAGTAATAAAGTAGTTGATATGTATACTTGATAAAATTCTAGTAAATTCTTTCTCTTAAATTCTTTAGAATCTAAATCCGTGCGAAAAATTATTGTCCGCTTATTTATCTTTGGAAATATTGGGTGCGTTCAGCAGAACGTTTGTTTTGCAACTGTTGTAAGTTTCCTTCGCGCTAATTGGATCATACTTTTAGATCTAGAAGAATTTGGCTGCGTTCAGCAGAGAAAGCAGCTTTGCAACTGTTGTAAAATTCTTGAATATGATTGGTTTATACATTTAGATCCAATGAGGAACTAAGGGTAAAGCCAATCATATTAAAGAATTTTACAACAGTTGCAAAGCTGCTTTTTCTGCTGAACGCAGCCATTGGGTGCATCCAGAAGCATGACCGCTCATTGGGTACATTCAGTACCACGACCGCTCACTGAGCGCTCAGTGAGCTCTTGTATCTGTTTGGTCTATATTTTTAGTTCTAACGGAATATGCCAATAAAATGCAAGCGCTCACTGAATGCTCATTGAGCGGTTGTAATACTAATATGCACCCAATGGCTGCGTTCAGCAGAACGTTTGTTTTGCAACTGTTGGAAGTTTCCTACGCGCTGATTGGATCATACTTTTAGATCTAGAAGAATGGTCCTATCTCAACAGACAATCATAAAACGGTTGCAAAACTGTTGAGTCTGCTGAACGCAGCCAATGAGTGCATTCAGTACTACAGTTCGCACAATTAATGGGCACGTTCAAGTTGACAAAGCGGCTAGCTAGCTCGCCGAGCAAATAAACATAATTGGTTGTTACTTATAGATCCAACCAATTATATTTAATCGATTGGTAAGCATGTATTGTCGCTTTGTCGTCTTGAACTCGCCCAATGCCTTCCCAGCCTATGACATTACGTTCACTGGTGAGACATCGTGTTTATCTTCTCGATTTTTTCACGTTCATGGCCGTAGTCGGACAAACCAGACTAGCCAATAGAGATTGGAGAAACTCGCGTATTGTTGATATTAAGGGCGCCGACACATGCAGCGTAATCCTTATGGCTTCTGCACACTGGACGCGGAAACGCTTACCGCGCAGCAAAATACGACGCGGTAACCAATAAGCTTACAGCTCCCAACATGTTCATTGGTTACCGCGTTGCATTTTGCCGCGCGGCAAGCGTTTCCTCATCCAGTGTGCAGGAGCCAATAGAGATAGTAGTACTAGAGGCGCATAGTCAGAGTGGGGGTAATCCTATCTACTAAAGGATGCACTCATAAAAGTCCATATTATAGGTCCATGATAAAAGTCCTACTTTTCTCTCTCGTTTCGCGCATGTGTATAGCCGTATACTCTGAGAGAGAGGGGATCGAAAGAAAGAACGAGGAACTGAAAGTTTCATATAGGCCTCTGTTCCCCAAGGTTATTCATTGAATTGAATGGTACTGTGACTCTATTTGAGTCGGAAAATCAAATAAGGAGATACCAGAAGAAAGTTTCATATAAGTAGTTGAGAAAGTATAACGCACGTGGCTCCATTATATTTTAGACTTAAAAAAGACTGACTTCAAAAAAATGACTCTTAAAAATGACTGGCTCCAAGATTCTTCAGTGGTTCTTCAGAACTGAGGGTTAGGACACAGTTATATACTCAATTGTGCGTTTGAAGCCGGTCACACTTTCCAAAGATGATGACGCATAACACGTCCGATCACGTCGGTAGACGAGAACCATCTTATTCCTTATTCTTTCTTTCAATCCCCTCTCTCTCAGAGTATACGGCCATATGCATGCGCGAAACGAGAGAGAACGATAGGACTTTTACGAGTGCGTCCTTTAGTAGATAGGATTACCCCCACTCTGATTATGCGACCTCTAGTACTACTATCTCTATGGCGTAACCTGCGTAAGCATAAAGCCCAAGACACAATGGGCGAGTTCAAGACTGTAAAGCGGCTAGGCATGCTTATCGAGCGATTGAATATGATTGGTTGGATCTATAAGTAATAACCAATTATGTTCATTTGTTCAGCGAGCAGGCTAGCCGCTTTGTCAACTTGAACGCGCCCAATGCGAGGGAATAGCGATAGCGATAGGAATAACATAGTTTCAACCTATCAGAAACTGTGTATTCCGGTGTATCCGATTTCTGATAGAT